AAGAAGAAGTTAGCTTTTTTGTTGGCATCACGGTGGAGCCCGGAAGTAAACGTAAGAGAGTAATGTCTTTGAAGGTGAAGCAAAGAACTAAAACCAGAGTGAACATTAGCGCAGCCTACGCTAGTTTGAGGGAGCTGAAGGAGCCTACAAAATCACAGACTGATGGTGACCTGGCTTTGTTGCTGCGATAATATTTTTTGTCCAGCAGTGTGGATCTTTTTACTTTGTGGTTTATTTAATATTAGTTGGCTCATGTTAGTGTTAGCTTGTTGTTAGCTCCAGCTACAGTATGGTTGTTTATGACAGTTGTTATTCCACTTTCAACCAGTTGGATGGAGGAGCAGGAAGCTGATCACTGTTAGTAAAAGCTCTCATTTATTCATTCATTCAATAAATCTGCTGCGTTCTCTAATATAAATGAATGCCTTTTGAGTAGTTTTCTGAGGAAAAAAGCTCGGGTGCTCCTGTTTCAGTAAGTAGAAGTAAGTCGGTGAAGTGGGGGCAGAAACCAGCAGTGTTTGGAGTCATACTAATTAATATTCAAACACCCAATCTCTGATTGGTTAATAGCAACACACGTGCTCTGTGATTGACATCGTTATGTGAGCGGAAGTCGAATGCTGTTGGCTAATGCTGAGCGGTGCTCAATGGGGAGCCTAAGGCCCCACATTGCCTTACTCCCTGAATCACAATTCTTATGTGTAATTCGATCATTTGTTCATTTGAAATTTATTAGCTTGTAAAAATCTGTATTTAAAAAGATTACAAATCAGATGTCACAAACATGACATCACAGGATCTCTTCTCCCCCATGTTGCTGCCACTTTCCACGTGGCTCTTTCATCCTGGAAGAAGGATGTGAAGCTCGCTTAACTCACAGCCATTTGTCCTTGTCTGGTTTGATGACGTAAATTTGGTGAGAAGAGCGGTTGTAGTCCGCTACGTGTTTTCACACAAAACCTAAATTATCCCTTGCCACCTGTCGAAAATAAACACTTTCTTGTCATCGAAACACGTCTTTAATATGCCTGCATGTATCCTTGGCGATAGGGGGCAGCACATACCTAAATCACTGCAAGTAAGTAGTATTTTTGTGTTCGAGTGAGACTTTACCAACGGATGGCCATTAGGGTCAAAAAGCCATGGGAGCACAACCTCCAGCAAAATGACAAACACATCAGACTTCCTTTCATCACTGGCAATGAGCGAAGAGATAAATGTGAAAACAACAACGTTTATGAGTAGTGATAGTTTTGTACAAATCGGTAAATGCGTTTTGTCCTCACGGGCTCCCGTAGAAGGAAACATTGTGTCTAATATGGCGTCGCCCAGAGACTTAGACCTGCTCCCATGTATTTGCAACCCAGTTTTTATGGATATATTTTACAAAGCCGCCAATATTTTTCTACAACTGGTCATCGTTTCATTAATTTTCTGCAACGTTTTGATGGAAATTTCCAAAGAATAACGGTAAAAACGACACATTGTCTCTTTAAAATCCACGGGCATCATATGTTAAATCCATGGCACATATCAAACAAGATCACAACATAACTTTTATTGGTTCATAGACACCAAAACAACAGAAAATAAAACGTATTCCCTAAATTATATCACAGTAATCACAGTAAGACTGTCACTTCACAGCAGGTCTCACAGAACAACCCTCCTCTTTGAAAAAGAAGACAGATAAAAGTGGAGATTTCTTTTGTCTTTTGAAAGGTCATTTTTTCTTACAGAAACACTAAAATGTTCATGTAACTTTTAACGGCTGCAGATTTTACAACCACCACGTCTCTAGTTGGCTATAAAAAGGAATCATCTGTGAGAACCACGTGCATAAAAGCAGCCTATTCTTCACGAAAGTCTGGAAAATGGTTTATGAGAATGATTTACATTCCACTGAGTGTTTTTATAAGAATAAATGTCACTTTTGTAGAGAAACGTGTTGAACATCAGTGTGTTTACGAGCCATGTTTTTAAGTAATTGAATCTTTTTCAGCCTGAAGATGATTTATGTGACCTGTAACTGCAATTATTCTGTTAAACTGAAAGCCTTGAAATAAACCTGTCAGTGTGAAATACTCATTCGACATTTGATTTGTGTCATTACTTGCTAAAAGAGAGGTTGCAGAGGATTTTGTCTTTCAGAATAGTTAAAGAAGTGGAACGCTTGTTTAATCAGTACATTTGCAGTGGTCTCTATAGGAATGAATACCTTGTAAGTCGTTCTCAGGGGGAAAAAATACCAGTGCACCATTTTTAGGACCTAAAAGTAACCCAGTTTTGGGCACTTTGGTTCAGGATCTTTAAAAATGCTGCTGCGTTTTGCTGGCTGGTTTCAGATTACAAACACAAACTCCACACAGACTTGGCAACCCCAAATCTCACAGATTGTAAACAATGACTGCGTCCCTCTTTAGCTTTTCTTAAGTGCCAAACCTGGCCTCCACCCCCCCAGCCGACTGAGAAGGAAATCTGTTTCAATGTAACCCACCTTCCAACATGGCTGACACATGAGACTGTTTTGTGATTATTTCACTGTAGAATTCTTACATATTGTACCTTTAACCTTCATTTCAGCATTTAATAAAAAACACTTTTATTCAAATATTATTATTATTATTATTATTAGTGTTAATAATAATAACAATAAGAAGAAGAATCATCATCATCGAACTTATAAAGTGCTTTATTAGGACACTCAAAGATGCTTGCGTGAACTCTTACATTCACACACTGCCAGTGATGGTAAGCTTCTACGTAGCCACAGCCACCCTGGGGCGGTCTGACAGAGGCGAGGCTGCCATTTGGTGCCATCGACCCCTCTGACCACCACCGACACAGGCAAGTTGGGTGAAGTGTCTTGCCCAAGGACACAACAGCAGAATACCTCTGGTGGGAGCTGGAATCGAACTCATGAGGCAACCCGCTCTACCAACTGAGCTACTGCTGCCCCTATTGTTAGATATGCAACCCCAAGCCTGGATAACAACATTTTTTGCCGGTGCTTTTCTTTTTTATTTTGTTAAAATACGCTAGCATTTTGCGGTGTCCTCACATCACATCTATAGAATATGGCAAGCCAACTCAACAGTGATCTGAGGAACTGGAAGCCGCGTAGGCTGTTTAGCTCTATCAAAAAGAAAAACCATCAATCGTTTTTGCATAATCCCTCCAGATGATGGGACAGAGAAGAGAGGAAACCACAAAACTGGTAAGTATTTTGTCCACTCACATTACGAAACATTATTATGTCCCCAAGAAACAGGAAAGTATGAATTTAGAGAATTTCTCTAATCTTAAACATCTTTACCCCTCATGGTCAGCCCCCAACTGATTATTTAAAGGGTTTTATTAAATGCAGGTTATAAATATCTAACCCAAATTAGTTTGAAGGTGCATTGTTGAACGCTGATCAGATAGATGGATATCTGACTTTTTTCAGCTTCTATAACACTAAACGTGTTAAATCTAGTGCACCCGTTTCTAAAATGCTGAGATCTCTACCTCTCTAACAGGGTTAGTGCCTTCCTACAAAAGCTACTGTAAAGAATCCAAGACTATATAAATTATTATTATATAATTGCATGTTGTCCATGTTTGTATTCTGCTAGTTTATCACTGCTAAACTAAACTAGATTGTTCAATTATGTAAATAGTTTGATTTGTAATCTTATGTGAGCAAAAAAACTATTTCAAGCTAAAGTCAGTGATTTAAGTGGGTCAGTATGCACCGGTTTGCAGTACCGCACTTTTAAAGGCACACATGTCAGTGTTGGATTGCTTTTAGCACCGCCTAGTGTCCGTTCAGTAGAACCAAAAGTGAAACTTCTCTATGTGCGTTCCTTTTTTTTTAACACCATAACTGCTGATATGCATCTCCAGCATGCATTAGTGTCTATAGGTGTGCTTTATCATTAAATCTAACAAATCAGCTGTGCTCAGGATCTAAACCATGCAGGAAAGTGCTGGAAGCAGACTGCAGCACCAGGCATGTCAGCTCAATTGTCCAACAGGTGGGGGCCCACCACTCTGAAGTTGCAAGTGCGATATTCTGGCCACACGGAGCAGTGGGGTCGGTGTAGCGTTTCAATAACCCTGTAAAGGGTCATTTCAGCACATACTGGCTCAAGAAAATGAGTCAAAAATATGAAAAAGTTGCATAGTATCCCATTAAATTTGACCTCTTAGGATAAAGGTAGTTTTCCTGGCCATTTATCAGTCGAAATCTCCAAAATCCCCTCGTCGGTTAATGGAGGTCAGAGGGGCTCTTCCCCTGCTCGTACGTTTTGAACTGCAACATTTAATAAGTTTTATAAAAACATATTTGGTTCTCCCTCTGCGCCTACCCAGATCCAACCAAATCGCTTTACAACTCAGACAAACTAAACTTCATTTGTGAACACGATGTATCCCAAACATCCCCTCATCTCAAGCCCATCCGCTCATACGTCCTGGCCGATTCATCCCCTCCGCCCTCCCTTCATCCCCATAATCCCGCATATCAGGATATGAAATAATGCCTCTTTGTCTGCCGCAGATGCAGAGCGATCATGATGCAACTGGGTCAAAAACATCACATTCTGTCCTGCGCTGATCCAAAGAGGTCCGAGCATAAGATTAACTCGTGGGACAGCTCAGCCACATTCTGTCACCATGATTACTCGTACAGGAACAGGCTTACAGCTGAGCAAGGATTCAAAGAACATAATTAAATAAACAAAGCAGCAGTAAAATAATTAGAACTAAACCTATAAATGAGGGGAATCTTTCATTCGGCACTACAGACAAAAAGTAATTAAGTAAATCTATCAGTGAGAGAGGAGATGTGAGGAACAAAGTGAGGGATCAGTCATCCAAATGCAGACTAATGAGCTTTAAAGTCTATCTGCGGTTCCAGCAGAACTCTGAGTTTTTAGCCTCGAGAGGAACCGACTTTTCCACTTTCAAACCGGCTTTGGTCCCGACAACGATCAGAGAACAGAGGATGGCATTACCTGGGAGATCAGAGAGCGTTCCTCTCTCTATAATGTGTTTTCTGTACAGAGTCTTCAGAACCTTGGCGCTGCCAAACCTCCTGAAGCGGGCCTTCACATTGTTGTAATACCATTCAAGAGACTGTGTCCTAAAAATCCTGCAGAGAGAAGAGAGATGACAGAAGCAACAACCATAAGTCAAAAAGAACAAGAAAACTGACTGTAATATAGTATAATTACTATTGTCAAACATCATTATTATAATGATTTAGCTTCTTGGATGAAGAAATCTCATGAGCTACTGGATAAACTTCCAGGAAGTAGCTAATTATTGGATGCTTATCCATTTTCAAGTACCTTTCTTAGTCAACTCCGTGCAAGATGGCTAATCAACTTTAGCAAATTTTTTACCTCAGTCAGTTTGAAAGCTCTCATTCATTTTTAGAAAAATTAAATTAGCTGTGATCTTTGGTGTGAGTTATTCTCTGTAGAAAAAAAAGCTCTGACGCTTCTGCTTCAGCAGCATTTGAAGTCTTACTCATTAATATTATTGAGATTCGAACATCTCGCCTCTGATTGGCTCACAGCAACACAACTCTTCCATTGCCTCCATTGGTTCTGCAACACTGATGTTTTATCTCCACAAGTAACACAAGCCTGAAGGAGTTCTACCATGGTGTGGAGTTGCTAATGCTAACGGTTAGCTTCTACTAGCTGAGGTGTGCTGTGCTCTCTAATGGCTGCAAAAATCAACACAGCCTTCCACGGTTGTGAGCCACGACGGGTGGGAGAAAGCTAATTTCCAGTGTAGATTTGTGTGGCTTATCTGACCCGAGCGTTTCCTGTTTGTTTTCTTTCGGGGGCTAATGCACGAAAAGGGGTAGAAGACTGTTTTTACGTTTAGCCTGCAAGTGACACTCAGAGTGACGGATTGTTTAAAAAAAACAAGTGTAATACAACAGTATACCTTCACCTTGAAGGATTTTTAGCTACAGTTTAATGTGATGATAGACTCATTCAGAGTTTGTGTTCCTTCAGGATCGCCAACAGATGTGGCTTTTTGGACGTATACTCAAAAACCCCCGGGACCGTTAATTTGATCACATATTCTAATTTTAGACCACAAATGCTTCAGTATGCTTATGGATGTGTGTGTGTGTGTGTGTGTGTGTGTGTGTGTGTGTGTGTGTGTGTGTGTGTGTGTGTGCGTGTGTGGGTATGTATATATGTATATATGTGTGTGTGTAAATGAACATGTGTGTGTGTGTGTGTGTGTGTGTAAATGAACATGTGTGTGGGTATACATGTTCTTATGTGTTTTTAGGTATTTTTATTCTCATTTATTGTGGTTGTTGTACGTTTTAGAGAGCGAACATATACCGAAGACAAATTCCTTGTAAATGTACTTTTACTTGGCCAATAAATCTGAAATCTGAAATGAAACTGAACTCTCTCTGAAATAATACTTTGTGTGAGACTGTATTATACAATTTTCTAAACCAAGATAAATGCATTAATTTTAACATAAAATTATTTGACTGTAAAACTCCAGTAATATGAATTCCTCCACAAAATGCACGACTTTTCATTTATATTAAGAGTTCAATCCGCATTTACTCTGCTGTAATTGTTAGACACTGCGCATTGATGAAGTGTTTAATAATAGAATTACAAGAAAAAAAACATATAATCACATTTTAAGACCCGCTGTTTAGTTTTACAGGTGTGGTTCACTCGTTTTAACATTCGGGACATTCTCTGCTGTTTCTAAACCAGTAACATCCTTCCCTGTCGTTAGTCAAGATGGGTGAGTCCATGAATGCTAACTCACAGTGTGATGTAGATCTGTCAAGATTTTGAAATCTTAGAGTTTCACTGTTTATTTTCTATTAGAGGCCAATGCAGAACATAGGTGTAGGAGACTGTTTTCATATCCAGCCTGCATGAAAACCTCAGAGTGGTTGATTATAGTCAGAAATAATCATTAAAAATGTGCTTTCAGTGTTCCACACCTTTAATTAGGGGTGTGTATTGGCAAAAATGGGGGAATACGATATATTTCAAAATACATGGGAGATGATTTGTTACGATACTGAAAGCCAGACCATATTTTTGATTTTTAAGATTGAATTTATTTGGGAAACTCAGGTCAGATGCTTCCAAGATTCAGTGTTACCGTCAGATCTCGTTGTTCTGTCAGAATGAAGGTGGTAAAAACTGCTGCCACCTAGCAGTCGGAGGTTGAATTGCATGCCTATTCGAAAAAATAAAAATCAACACACTGCTTTTAAACATCATTTCAGTATCATAACACAAAATCTTGTGACATTTTAGTGTATCGATCATTTCTTACAGCTGTAGTGTAAAGTAAACCATGGGTGGATGCTTTTCATTGCTATATTTGACCTTGGTGCACGTTGTGGTTGTCAGACGTGATGCTGCAGTGGTTTCTGGCACAAATCACATTGTTGTTACATAAGAAATCATTTTAAATGAAGGGGGGTTATGAAAAATGATCTTTTTCTGCACAAGTGTTGCACTGGATTGCATGAAACTCTGCCAACCTTGTGCTAAATCTCCTCGTCTCCTTTGCTCCCATTTCTCAGCTGCTGCTGATGAAACCGAAGCACAGAATCACAAAAGGGTGAATTTTTTTATGATCTTCCATTAACAAGTTTTTTTGTATCTGGATATTTTGAGCATGAGAAATGAAACAATAAATCAGCTGATATGAATTATTAATATGTTAATTATCCTCTGATGGTAATAAATCAGTGATGGAGCGTGCGTGTGTGTGTGTATATGTGTGTGTGTATATTGATACTTCTGCCCAACGAGCAGACAGGCTGTGGGAGGAAAATAGCCATGCTAATAAAGGGATCCTGTGCGTCCCTGAGGCTGAATGAGCTGCCACATTCATCCCCTTCTCCGTCCTTCTCAGCCTCCCTCCACTTTTTCCTCTTTTGGATTTATTATCCTCCACATCTATCAGCTGGGCTGCTCAATGGGCCTCAGCTCCTTAATTTCATGCCACGAGTCTACCCTGTCACGTTAATAGTTGTGGGCAAGCTGGCAGAGGCCTGAAGACTCTGGATGAGCAGCTCGGCACAGAGGAGACATCGTAGGAGGTAGAAAAACAAACAGGTTTCACCTCCGCTCTGAAGTGAGCTGCTGCACCACAGGGTGACCTTTGAACTGAATGATCCAGAAGGAAATGAGACCGCTGCATCATATTTCAATCGCTTTTCCTGCTGTACAGAAGCAGATACTGTTTTTCTTTATTATATTTACTAAAACTCAGATTCAGATTAAATTAACAGGATTATTTTGGTGTATATCGTCTACTATACCATATTTGTTTATAAAGCCCATTTAAAAACAGTGTGACAGCTTAAGGAACAGGGAAACTCCATGATAAAAAACTGGATACAATAGCCAACAGAGTGAGACAGAATCAGGTTAAAAGATTCACAACAATAGTGGAATGACTACAACAACGAATAAAACATAACACAGCATAAAAAAGTTAAAAATGTGAGCAGGGAAAGCAACACAGGATTGGCAACCGGTCTAAAAGATAGTAAAACTAGGTCACTGACCAAAAGCTAAATGATAAAAATAAGCCCTCAGCACCGAATTAAACCAACCTGTCGTATGGAGGGGGAGTATTCCAGAGTTAGGAGGCAGCGAATGAGATGGCGCCCTCCCCACAAGGTCTGTAATACATCTTTGGGATGCACAGGGTGACCTGCAGATCTCAGCGACCCATACCATATATTCACAATAAATAAATAACTGGAAAACATGTAACTATATGATTATTTTACACATCAGACTCTAAGTGAATTAAAACAACTCCGCTTGCTCTTTATAGAACTTAATGTATTCATACATTTGACATTACATAGTCTGTAGCCTTTTCCAGTTATATTAATACTTAGGGGTGGGATTCGATAAAAAAAAAATCTAATTATAATTCCTTAAAGGGACTTTACGGACTTTTGAATTTTTATGCTCACGATTGCCCCCTCAGGCCAAAAGCGTAACGGCAGCTTCAAGAGTAGGCTCGTGCACGAGGCGCGCATGCTGTACGTGCACACTCCTTAACGAAAATAACAGCTGAGACAGTCCCATGTGTGTGTGTGTGTGTGGCCTGGAGGACAGAGGACAGGAGAATGCGCAGCTAATTAATTAAATAATTTGGTTCTGTAAGTAAGTAAGTAAAAGTTTATTTATATAGCGCCTTTCTCAGATATAAATCACAAAGCGCTGTACAACATGATAAAGATAAGGGCAAATACCTCTAACCAATAAAAACATCAGAAAAACAATAGCAGTGATAAACATAGAAAATAAAATCATACCTTTTGCTGGTGGTGGTCCCTCCGATCACCACCAGCAGGCAACATGGGTTAAGTGTCTTGCCCAAGGACACAACGACAGCGACGGACTGAGCGGGACTCGAACCTGCAACCTTCAGATTACGGGGCGAGTACTTAACTCCTGTGCCACCGTCGCCCCAAGGTGTACCTTTCTCTTCAGCACAGCCTACAAAGGTTTAAGATGGGTCAGTCTTCCTGCATGCTCAGATCATTCCCTTCCCTTGCTTGAAAAATTTTTCCAAAATGAAAGTTGAACCCACATCTTTTTTATCTGTGAATTCAATGCCGTTCGGCAAGTCTCAAAAATTTGGGCATCTTACTGTAAAAAAATATCCCATTAATGTAAAAAAGAAACTCTAAATGAACTATGTTCACACCCAGAATTGAACCCAGGTCTTCTGCAGGGGAGTCAGACACCTTACAAGGTGTGCTACGCTCTAGTAACATTCACAGTATCTGCAACTTTTATATCCTTGATGACAGCTGAAACAACGTCAAACCAAAGAACGGTTCGAAGCGAAAATGGCTATTTTGTTGCTAATTTGCAGTAAATATCTAGAAGAAAGTTCTACAGAAAGTAGCTAAGGGTCCTCAGAAATGTAGCTAGGTTCGTCACTAGGCGTTAGGAGCACTACCTCTCTCTCTGCTGCTAAATCTACGGATAGCAAATGCTACGGGCTATGCCTGAGCGTGAACGCGCATGAAGCAGCCTGCTCGACCTGGGCAACTCTCTTTTTCTGTGATTTTACAGAAAAACAGGCAATCACAGTAAAAAT